GGAGAAGAAATATTCTGCCTATGAAAAGGAAATGACAACGGTTGTGCATTGTCTTCAGATTTGGAGAGTCTACCTGTTGGGAACAAAATTCATGATATTGACGGACAATGTGGCAAATACTTTCTTCAAAACACAAAAGAAGTCGTCTCCAAGGCAGGCCAGGTGGCAAGAATTCCTTGAGGAGTATGACTTCGAATGGCGACACAAACCTGGGCGCCACAACCAGGTTGTTGATGCTTTGAGTTGGAAGGAAATTGGGGACTATGTTGCTGCGATATCAAACATTGAAACTCAATTGTTGGAAAGGATTCAAGCAAGTGCTGCAATTGATTCTGAATATCAAAGGCTAGTTCAGCAAGTGAAAGATGGCACTGTGCGTCGCTATTGGTTGGAAAACGATCTACTCCATGGCAAAGGAGATAGATTATATGTCCCTAGTGTTGGTGGGCTAAGGCTAGAGTTGCTCAGAGAAACTCATGATCCGCAATGGGCGGGTCACCCCGGACAACAACGCATGATGGCTTTACTGTCTCATTCCTATTGTTGGCCAAAAATGGAGGAAGATGTAGAAGCCTATGTCAAAACTTGCCTAGTGTGCCAACTGGACAAAACAAAGAGAAAGAAGGCAGCTGGACTGCTGCAACCGTTGCCTATTCCAACGAAGCCATGGGTGTCTGTTTCCATGGACTTCATATCCGGGTTGCCAAAGGTGAACAGTATGCGTTCTGTTATGGTTGTTGTTGATCGTTTCTCTAAATATGCTGTGTTTATCCCTGCCCCTCATGCTTGTCCAGCCGACGTTGCGGCAGACCTATTTTATAAGTATGTGGTGAAATACTTTGGTTTGCCCGAGGATATTGTTAGTGACAAGGATACCCGATTTATGGGACGGTTTTGGAAGGTGCTATTTAACTTGATGGGATCCGAATTAAAGTTTTCTACAGCAAATCATCCTTAGACGGATGGACAGACCGAGAGAATGAATGCTTTGCTGGAAGAATACCTTCGACATTATGTGACTGCAAGTCAGAGGAATTGGATTGACCTGTTGGATAGCACCCAGTTTTGTTATAATCTGCTTCGGTCATCTGCCACGAGCATGAGTCCATTTGAATTAGCCACGAGGCGACAACCCCTCACTCCACATGAAGTGGCACGGACTGGCTCAGGGGGTAGATGTCCTGCAGCATACCTGTTTGCAAGAGCTAAACAAGACATGCTAGATTAAGCACAAGACAGTTTGGCTAAGGCAAGCAAGCGGATGAAAAAGTATGCTAACAAAGAGCGAAGACCCTTAGAATTCAAAGTGGGAGACAAGGTGCTGCTGAAGCTTACTCCACAAATTTGGAAGAAGATAAGTAGTAAGACAGCGCACCGAGGCTTAATTCCGAAGTATGATGGACCCTTTGAAATTTTAAAACGTGTGGGAAATGTTGCTTACAGACTGAAATTGCCTGACCGGTTGAAGATACACCCAACAATCCATGTTAATTTCCTGAAAGCTTATCATGAGGATCAGGCTAACTTAACACGGACGCAAACTCGACGCGCCCCTCCGGTGATCAGAAAACAGTTTGACAAAGAAGTGGAACGGATTCTGGACCACAAGACAGATGGGCAAAGTAAGAAAAATCAAAGAACTCATTACTTGGTTAAGTGGAAGGGTTCTCCTGAAGCGGATGCAAGTTGGGAAAATGATGTAACTCTATGGCAGTTTGAGAAACAAATCACAGACTACTTAGAGGCCTTACCGACGAGGACGTCGGCTTCTTCTAGTGGGGGTGGTTTGTTAGCAACTTCTACTTGAAGGCTGCAAGCTTGGCATTGGCAACACCTTGCGCCAATGTCCAGCCAAGGCAATGGCACGATGGTGGCATGCCAAAACAGCAAGGTGAAAAGTTAGCTAAGTGCTGAGGCAGCAGCACACAACCCTTGGCCAAAGTATGGGCAGCAGTTGCACAAATGCAAGGCATTAACATGACCTGAATGTGGGCTGTAGCATACTTGGGGGTTCAAAGCAATCAGTAGGCAAAACTTGGTCTGGGGGCCAAGACAACAAAATTCGTGGCTGACTTGATGAGGCAAACAACACAGCAGTTATTAGCAGTTATGCTTGTCTGTTGGCAGCAGTTACCCATGTTGGGCAAGGCTGGAAATCAGGAACCAAGGCTGGAGGATAGCAGCAAGTACTAGCAGTTAGTCCCAGAAATGTTCCTAAGTCCCTAGACAGTTGGGGGTGTCAATTGCCATGCCACTTGGCATGCTTTCCTTGTAATGCTGGTTGTAAGTTTGTAACTGATTGTAAGCCTATTTTAGGCATAGCCATGGAACTCGAAAATTAACTAAGTGTTGGTAAGAGTTACCATAGGCCTCCTTTGTATTGTTGGTGCAATTAATAAAGGTTGGAAATGTTTCTATGATCTCTTGCTGCCTATTCTCTTATTTGTTATAGCACTTTGTGTGTGTGTGTATTCATAATTGGCTGAGACTAAGTGCCCAACTTAGTGCCATTACAGGTTGGAAATTTGAAACAAAAATTGACCCCGTAACAGTAGCCATGTTGGAATGCAAGAAAAATCAATTAACCTGTTCCATCCGTTCAAAGGTTTTAAGAAAAAGCCTATAAGAAGCCTTTCTTTTCCCATCCATACTTATAAGCGCGCACACAAACAATTTTATTTTAAAAACCAAACCAAATCAACCTAGACTAAGCCTTGTGTCCCAATCAAGTCGTGTCGGCTACATGAATCCTTTTTTTACTATTATGCTCTGTCAAGGTTATATGCATATCCTTTATTACTACTGCATCCCATGTTAGTTTAGGTCTTTCCCTTCCCCTAACATTTTCATTTATGACATTCGTATCACTCTTCCTTACCATGGCATCTATAGGTTTTACATGACTGATGCAAACAAATTTGCATTCAAATTCCAAAATCAAGAGAGAGGAGAACACCCAATTAGGGAGGTAAGCCCCTAAGGGTTACAAAGAGAACCAAAGCACTTTGCTCTAATCAATGTCAATGATCTCCAATTAAAATCCAAGTACAATGCGTATTACATCACCTATTTATAGACTGCAACCATAGGCCACTTAACATACACTTAACCTATTCGTTCTACTACATCAGCACTCCCCCTCTTGGAAGAGAAGAAACGTGTCATCAGGTTTAAGCAACAACTAAGAGCTCAATTTCACCACTCATTTAGCCTGAGGAGAGGAAAAAGCGCTGTACTTCCTTGCTCAACACCAACATGATTCTCACAAGTCATCATTCTATGAATAAATTGAACTGCACCCCTTGCTAAACAACCAAAGGTGCACAATTGACAACTCCCATCATGTCCATACCCTCTCGCTAAAGCTCGGAGAGACTCCCATTTTCCAAACCTCTTCACCTCTAACCTGCAGACTAGTACTCATCCTGTCGGGACGGGACTACTGACTAGTAAATGATATCTTCCAAAACAAGGCTAAGGGATGTGACAGAAATGATAGGATTGACAATGCATCCACTAGGTAAGAACAACTTGAGAGAAACTACCCAAGAGCTAAAATTCAGCATTGCACTGCTTCCTTCTGTCCCTTGGTCACAACTGTGAAATGAGCGTCACAACCAGCAACTTACTCAACTCAAGCCAACTTCCTATCGAGGCATAAAGGAGCACCAAATATACTTCTTCAAAGAAGCTCTTTGAAGCTTGCAAAGTTAACATTATCTCAATGGTATTAATTTGGATTTTGAAAAACATCATCCTTCCATTAAGTCGATTCAACTCAGCACCATCACCAAAAAATTGCAGTGTGATCTCTACCCATCAAATTGAAACTAAAAGATGAGCAGATCTTATTCACAGTAGCCCTGTTAATCAACTCACATAACTTTTCAGACCAGAGAAATCAACCAAAAGGTCCATCGAATACAGAACTTAAGGAATCAAACCAAATCAAACTATATCTACGGGGTTTGAAGAAATCTAAAAGTTTCAAATCAGGTCCATGAGATTCAAAGTCAAATCAACCTCAGTCAGGCCTTTTCGAACTCAAACCTGAAGGATCTAGGAGTTTCGAATAAGGATCTAAGAGGCCCTTTTGAACTCATATCTGAAAAATCTAGGAGTTTCTAACAAGGATCTAAGAGACGAGCTTTGATCAAGTGCAGAGCTAACTTCACAACCAAATCGGATCTTCTACGGTTCAGTATGGACGAATCGCAGCTTTGATCAACAGATCAGCTCATCGCTGAGATTGCAACAGTTACAAAACTATCGATTGAGTCCCAAAAACAAAACGCAAATCTTGAAATCAAATCCAAGAGCAAAGTCTATCTTCAATTTGCAGACCAGTTGGTGTTGGATCACAAGAAGAGCCAACTCACGATAGCTTAGAATATAAAGAAAAACATTGCACTGTATATTCCTCATATATGCAAAACCAACTAACCCTGGTCAAGAATCTCAGTGAAATCACACTCCCAATATGACTGGGAAGAATAAAGAAACTGAAGCCGATCAACAATCAAACAAAGAAAAGAATCTGAATTGAACTGAACTTTAGGAGCAAATTAATCAATCAATCAAAATTAAACAGCTCGAATTGAGTTCAGATTGTGAATGTCAAAGAAATTTAACTCCAGCCACAATCAGACAATAGAAAGCAACCTCAAATCCACTCAGATCAAAACAAAATTGGCTTTAATAGAGTTCTTTTTACCTTATTTCAATTCTTACAGTCATTTCAACTAACAAAACCTGGTTACATAACTGGTAACATCTTTGTTTTCATAACGCACTTTCTTACGAATCTCGCATTTCACCAAAGTATAAAAAGTATGCTCAACATGTAACTTCATGATTCCGAAGTTGCATAAAACAAAACATTGCAGAGGCAAGGAACAATGCAAGTTAACACGTTAAAATATAATAATAATAATACTGAATTTTATACTTGCGTCCTTTTTCTTTAGGCAAAAGAAAAGGATGCTGAATTTTATACTCACATCTTTTTTATCTTGAGGCAAAAGAAAAGGATCCCTGACACTAAGTCCAGCCACAATTGTCAGAATAGGATCAAAGCAACTGAAGATAGCACCCATTATTAACATTTTCCCTAGCTTGGGATCTACTGGCAGCATTGACAGAAACCCTCCTGGTTAAAAGAAATAAATAGAAGACTATCGATCAGACTAGCAAAAAAAAATTCATTAATACATCTATTTTTCATACAAAAAACCATATACTCACCAAGATGTGTGAGATTTTCATTCTCATCCAATGCTCCAATCATCTTCAAAAAATCAACAGCATTTTGGACCTGCAACAAATTAAATCCAACTTGTTTCACTTACAGAATCATGAATAAGACTAAAGGAAGCCTACACATCTCTCATGTGACTACCTGAGCTGGTGCAGAATCCATGATCACTATATTTATTAATAATAACTGTATACAATTAAACAGGTCATCTTAAATGAAGAAAACAAGAACATATATTAGAGAGCATACTTGTAATCATGTCTTTTTGAGAAAGAACAGGAAATGAAAGATCAATCTAACAAGTTTTGTAACTATGTGTTCGGGACAAAACAAAGACCAACAGAACACGAAAGTGAATTATACTACACAACATGAGAATAGTATGTCCTGAAAAGAACAGAAAAGGAAAGGGGGAAAATCAGGAATTGAAACGAAGGATCAATATACAAAGTTTTGTACCTATATGTTCAGATACAAATCAAATACCGACAGAATGGCAAAACAAAAGTGAGGAGCTGCATTTAAGTATATAGTTGAAGGGCTTTTTTTTTTTTGGCATCGTTATGTAAGGAGAACAAATGATGAAGAAGTAAAAAGAACCTACGTCGGATTTCATTGCTCTGAGTGCCTTATTATTGATGTGATTGAGTTTTTATTTCTCTTTTCTACTTTCTTTATCAATTTTACGTCAGTGCCATGAAATATGGAGTGGGTCTACCGCCCATCAAAGAATACCCGTATACCCGTGCATGGTAGATGGTCTACTTAACCATTAGGCTAGCAACCCAACAAAATTTACTAGTGTTGGGACTTTTGCATAGCAAAGTACCCGGCGTACAACAGTGTTATTTGTGTTTAAAATCTAGTGCTTGGCACAGTTTCTGGTGTACATGTAATCTTTATTTTGAGCGGTGACTTAAAACTCAAATAGTGAAATGTAACTGTTGGTTGAAACCTCTTTCTTTATTTTGGCTAATTTCCTAAAAAGTTGGTGTGAGTTAAATTTTAAGGTTAAGTGTGGTCCAAAGATATTAAATAAATAATAATAATTAATAACAAAGGAAATAAATAATAATAACAACAACAACAACAACAACAACAATAATAATAATAATAAGGATTGCATAATGATATTATGTGGTTATTTATGGATGAACAACTCGCTTACATTAGCCTAGGGTAGTGACAAGACTTGAGAAAATAAAGAAGGTGGGTAATTGAAATCCTTGTAATGGATTAAAGTTGAATATAAAACAATCATAGAATTCAAAATATTCTACACTTGATCATGTAATTTACTCATTTTAGTAACATGGAATAACGACTTGGAATTGAATAGTGGAAAACATGTATGCTAAGTATAGAATGGTTACCATGTTATTTGGTTATGTGACCATGGAAATATCTATACGTGGTTACTTGCTTATGTAGTTTGTTTGCTAGACATTATCCTTACAGAGTCGTTGTGCTCACCCCTTACATTTTCAAGCATTGGTCATTGTGCCTTTCCCCTTTTATTTCGATAGAGGATTTGTCTCTTAATTTGACTTGTAACATCTTGAATTTACATGTATGCTTGTAATATTTTGAGTAAAGGCATGTAGTGGTGTAGTTAAACCTTACACGTGTACGAATTTACTTACCATGGCATAGGGGAACGATTTCATTGGAAGACTTTACCATTAATTAAAAATTGAGTTTTAATAAACTTAAGTGAATGTAAATATTTTTGGTAAACTAGGCAACTCCACCTTTTGACACTTGAAATGGGATTTTTCTTCAAAATGTGGATTCCACCCAAGATTTTGATTTTGGCACTCTAGGGGACTATTAAGGCTTTTTGGCCCAAGGGGTATTGAGTTGGCCGAGACCCAACCTGAAGCCTTTTCGGGTCATTTTTCACTAAAAAGTTAAAACAGGGTAACTTTAATTAGTGTGTTGTCCCAAAAATTATTTTTGCCAATATTTAGGTGCTGTTTGGGAAGTTGGGGTTTGGCTAAACTAGCCAATAAAGACACACAAAAAAAAAAAATAATTAATTAAATAGCCAATAAAATAAATGTCACATCCTCCACATCAATCAATCATTTTTTCTCTCACAACCATTTATTCAACTCCCAAACAAAAAAAAAAACCCATAAATCATCACAAACACAACTTTTTTTCATCTCATAAAATAGCCAAAAAGACACTAAAATAGCCAAGTTCCCAAACGAGCAATTAGAGTTGTTGGAGGTCCAAATGTGCAGTGTTAAAAATCACTAGAGAGACAAGTGATGTGGAACAGTAAATAACTTGAGAGAAGGTGAGCGTGAGGTTGGGGCATTTCCACGATTGATTTAATCTTGTCTTCATCCGACTCTATTCCATGCTGATGTATGAGGAAACCGAGGAATTTTCCAACAGTGACTCCAAAAGCGCATTTCAACGGGTTCATTTTCACGCAATACTTCTGACATCTCTTGAAGACTTTTTCCAGGTCATGGAAGTGCTGACACGCCTCAGTAGATTTTACTACTAAATCATCTACATAGACTTCTATCTCGTTGTAGACACAAATTTTAAAACATGAAGTATTTCAACACATTTCAAAATTTTATGTTACAAATGTCCACTGTTTAGTTTTTGGACTAAACAGTGTTGATGATTTGAATAGCAGGTTCTTATTTTCGATCTGTATTTCAGATCGTTAATTACACATTTTAGACAAATGAAACCTCCAATTAATGAAGAACAAAATAAACAACAAAAGACAATTTAAGAAGAATAAATATATTATTGAAATTGTTCTGGGTTTTGAACCCTCGAATACAAAATACAATTCTTGGGTTTGGAACCTTTTACCTATTCATCGCCATTAGCGTAGGCTCTTGAGTTCTTTAGACTTCTCTTCTTCTTTCTTGTAACAATTTCTTTAGCTCTCAATTCCTTTCTTTCTCTCTCTGATCTTTTCACTTCTGATTTTCTTCGATCCCCCGTCTTGTGTGATGGTCCTCATATTTATGGAAGGCCATCAAGTGATAGGAATGCTTCACCTTCAATTTGAATTTCAAATTGAATGATAGCGCCATTTGAATTTTGAATAATAACGCTATCTGGTTAATCGTATATTTGATTAACCGGATTGATCTTTGGGGTTTCATCCTGTGTGGTGTCCTTGCTGTAGGCTCTATAGGTGTCATCTTTCGTAGGCTCCACGTGTCATTTGAGCATCTTGAATAACGTTATTGAGATACAACGTCGTTTTATTTATGTACTTCAACGGATCATATTGATCTTTGTTTAGGGAGTGATTACCTACAACCTTCCTATCATAGGCTCTATACGTGTCATAAATTTAGTTGAAATTTATGTGCCAACACTCGTGATACAACATGTCATGAAAGACAATGGTCATCATCACCCTATGGTAGATTGCCCTTGCATTTTTCAACCCAAAGGGCATTACCGTGTAAAACAAATCCTGAATGCTGTCTATTCTGAGTCTTCTTCTGCCAATTTTATCTGATTGTATCTGTTAAACCCATCCATGAAGAAGAATATTTGATGTTTTGCGGCGGAGTCTACGAGGGTATCTACATGACGTAATAGAAATTCGCCTTTTGGGCAGGCCTTGTTCGAGTCTCGAAAGTCCACACAAACTCTGATTTGGCATTTTTTTCTTCTTAACTGGTACAATGTTTGCCAACCAAGTAAGGTGCTGAATTAGCTGGATAAAAAACACCTTCTACAACTTCTTCATCTTTTCTTTTATATTTTCCTCAAGGTCAGAATGATACTTTCTTGCCTACTAGCCTTGAGTTAGGAAAGGAATTGAGGTGATGGGTGACAAGAGATGGATCCAAACCTGGCATTTCATCATACATTAGTGTATTGTTTCAAAAGTGCTATCAATTCACCTTTTGCTTCTGGTGCCATTATGCTGCTAATGAACACAGGTTTTTCTTGCCCTGGTATTTCACCCAGGTTAACCTCACCCAGTATCTCTTGTTGCAGCTTTGGTCCATCCTGCATGTATTCTGGGGCTGCTTCAGGTTCCTCAACCAATTTTTCATTTAACACAACCTCCTCGTACCCGTTTGCCGTAGGGCCATCTTCCTAGGGTAAGAAGCCTGGCGCCTAACACCGTCAAAGGTAATAGACGGTCTTCCCGCCTTCACGTACTTTGACAATTTTCCATGAGGTGGTTGGTGATTCGCTAGCTCACTTCTATCCGCTGGTCATCGGCATTTCTTTTTCATTGTTAATGTCCTCTCCTCCCACCAAAGTATTTTTACCCCAGCAACCTTCCTTGCCCTCGGGCTTTCTTCAGTAGACAATTTAGTAAAAAAGACTGCATCAGAGTAGTGTGTCTTTTCTGTCCCAAACGATTTTTCTGAAGCATTCATGGTCATCATTCTCTTCCCAGGCTTCACCTTAACACACTGATGATAACTTAACGGTATCACCCCATACCGATGCATCTATGATCTGCCCAGTATTATATGGTAATTCGTACCCGCATCTATCACATGGAACTTAGTGGCAACATGAATTTTGCCGACTGCCAAGTCCACCATGACATAACCGTCCTTCCACCGCCAAACCCCATGGTGATAATTGATTGACGCACCATACGTAGGTATACCAACTTTCTCGAATGTGTCTTTGGTTTTAATCTATATTGATGCTCCTCCATCAAGGAAAGCGCGCCTGAATTCCACATTGTCAATGCAACCTGTCACATAGAGCGGACGGTTGTGAGGGAACGGATATTTTGCCATCCACTTTAGAGAAAGTAATGGAGTTGTAATCTTCGCAGATTTTGCGAGGAACAAATTACTCAGCGTCCATGCATTCTTCATGATGCACCTTGGCAACATTGATGTTGCTTCCAGCCTGGCAGCTTCAGTAAAGCCTAACTAGTCAAAGAAGGCCTGAAATTTGACACAGTTTTGTAAGGCATAAGCATGTGAATCGGCCTTGGGCAACACATCAGGGGGTATTCAGCTATTTCTTCAATCTCATCATAGTAGGACACCATATTGACTCAATAGAACCCTTCTGCAACATCAGGACCACATCTGTCGGAATATTCGTAAGCCTTATTTTCCGGGGGCCCAACATAAATGACCATATTTACATTCCTCCCCTCCTTCCTTGGCCACTATTTGGGTTGTTGCCTTCACTTGGACCTATCTACTCATTTACCTTCTTCCACTAGATGTCTCTATGTTGCGGGGGGTGTGACACTCATATAATTTATTAATTTAAAAAATACATTACAAGAGTGTATGTCCATTGTTTATGATTTTTGGTTGGTAAACCCTTTTTAAAGATCAAATGCTAGCTAGCAATTTAAATTTTAAATATGACCCACAGCATTTTCAATAGATTCAGACAAGCAGAACTACCATAAAAAACAAGTTTAGCACTGAGCTACATATCAGAAAGATCCACGACTGCCATCAAGACACAGATGCGGATAGCAAGAAAATAAAAATGGCCAAGAAGATCTAGAAGTGAAAATTACTTACAGCCAATGATTCTGGTGGCTGCAGAGCAGCTGACAAAAAGTCTCCTATACTGCCCACCTGCAAACTTTTTATTTGCAAACAGAGAGAATTCAAAGGAGTTCTCAGAAGTTCAGGAAGTTGATATTCAGCAAACGCTTCATAAACACATTGTGGATATAGATGGTAGCACTCGCCTGGCTGCACGCGGCCAGCCCTACCTCGTCTCTGCAATTCATATGTAAAACATCAAAATAAAAAATGCTCATTAGCAATAAGAGTTACAGATATATGGATAGGTAATTAATTAACAAATGGAAAAGACAACAAAAAATCAACAAACTAATTGCCACTGACACCCTAAAAACTATTTTAAAAGGTCTTCCACCATGCTGTCAACTACCTACCGTAAGTTTTTTAAGCCATTGAATATCTCTACATTGAGACGTACACATAAAGACAGCTTCATTATGCAAGAGCAAATTTCGAACTTCCCCAATGCAATCAAGCAAACACCCACCACCAGCACTCAAATACTTACAATTCAGATACCAAAGGTTATCCTTTATTTATGATCTAAAATTACCATATTAAAGCATTTAAGCTTAAATGCCCTATAGTAAAAGAAGGGCAGAAGGTAACTTACTTGCCGAGCAGAAGCTTGTGATATCCATGAAGGTAGGAGGCATGGAGTATTATTTAATGCATCGTAAGTAGTCTCCTTTGCTTTTCCACAATCAATGACAAAAACAACATCATTAATTGTAATACTTGCCTCTGCCATATTTGTAGCAAGTACTATTTTACGAACATTAGGAGGCGGCTTCTCAAATATGAGTTTCTGTGAATATCAGCAACAGAAAAACAAAAAAAAGGAAATAAAATATATGGTTGCATTAGGATTAGTAGATTTCAAATGAGTAGATCTGAAGTTAATTAGGTTTTCTGCTTAAGCTTCTATGCAAACAAGTCAAACCAATGTATTTTGAAGTAATATACCACAAGTTCAAATGCCATATAGCATGTATGTGAAATAACTAGATTAAAAGAGTGATTTGAAATCCATTCTACTAAGGATTCTAACTGCACATGTCATGCCACAGATTTTTAAACCCAAAGGATTAAGCTTAAAGGAAATAATTTTCAGATGGAACCCAATTTAGTTTGTGAAGGTCTACTAGTTGACCAACCAAGGTCAATGTCTAAAAGTTTTGAAAGTAAGGTTAAGAGTGTGTGTGGGAGCACTCTTCCAGGTTTATCAGTTCCAAATTCGATATTTTGATCCAATTCCCATTCTTGTTCATTTGGAAGAAATAATAAACATACCAAACTAGTTTCCAACTTTAAAATGCTTTTAAGGCCTTGTCTGTGGTCCAAAAGTGATAGAGATTTCTAGGACAGACTTGACAACGAATCTGTCCGGTTTTATTCAAGTAACTGAAATTGCCCTAAAAAGGTGCCGAATTGGTTCCCAACAACCCAAAGCCCTTTGGAAAAAGTTCAAATAACATTTATTCATGAAACATTTGTTTTCAGATTGGTTTTGAAAACAGTGTCCGATTTCCATAGGGACAGATTTGGTGCAATTTCACACTAATAGTCCAAAACAGTGAATTTTCCACCTTAGATAGAAACAGTGAAATTTCATACTAATCAAATAGACGAAGTGAAATTCCACATTTCTTTAATAACCAAGATTACAAGGGTTTCCCTTGAAATCCAATTTCATAGCTGAGCATGACAAAAGTGTTAAGATTGGTTTTGATCAGCCAAAAATATTTTTTCCTCTTATTTCAGTTAGAGAAAACCATAAGTATTCTCTTATTCCCAACACACCACAATGCTATGGCAACCATCATACATCAAAAGAAACTCTAGCATGCATCCTAACATCATAGGCATCCTTACATAACCAAATTCAAGCTAAGTTATTACAGACTCTAAATATAGTAGTTACATATACCTACCAAGAGAACCACAAGGCCAGGCCAAACAAAACATTTGCATGTGATGGCCTCAAATTGGTGAGAGTACCTACAATGTCGGGGGTGAGCACGGTGTCCCCAAAATGACAACCAACTAATATGCTGGCAACATATGTTGGTGAACTTTAGTTTTGTGGGACCAATCACTCAAGTTTCAAGTTTTTTCGGGTTCCAAGTTTTGGGTTTCGTGTTGTGGGACCAACACAAGTGCGTAGTGGATGTAGATACGTTACAATTATATCCTGCGTTGATTTTAGCTTACGGTGGCATAACAAGATAATGAAATTAATTGGTGAGGGGCACAGCGGCAATTTAAGCTTTGTGGGCCATGTGAGCTGCTAATTAGGGGTGTTCCCAATCACCCATAATCGACCGAGCTACTGTTCAAAATCAGCCAAATGAAAGAACTCAGATTGACAGTTGGTTCAGTCAATTTCGAACATTTGGCACAAAGGTGAAAACATTGGGGAAGATGGAATAAAAGTTCAAAATAATAAAGTTAATACAGATCTATAAGTGGGAATAGAAAGAATGAGAAAAAGGAAAAGCAAGAGGGGAGAGTCTCACCATTATCACCGCTGTCGCAAACTACAACCACCACCATCACCATCGAAAGACAGATGCAAGAGAAAACAAAGAGAAATACAGATGAGGGAGAAAGTAATAGATGAATCTCTCTCAAAGGGGGGGAGAGAGAGAGAGAGAGATCAACAGTGTTTGGGGAGAGAGGAAGAAGAAAATGTGACGGGATGAAATAGGGTGGTTGTGGAAGGAAAACGAGAGGGTTGAGAGAGATGGAGATGGAGAAAGGTGAGAGATAAAGATAAGAGGTTTGAAACAGTGGGACAGAGGATTAAGGAGAGAGGGAGACAAGAGGGTGGGCGAGACGTCAAACGTCTCTAACTGACTTGGGAGACGTGTTGTTTGTCTCGGGAAGATTTTTTCTTATTGGAAAAATATGTATATTTTGAAGAGTGTAGGGTGACTTGAGATAATAAAGTCTATGATTGTTTAAGTTACCAATCCAAGCAAACCTAATATAATAATAATAAAAGTATATATATATATATATATACACGTATATAATTCGGTCAATCGGTGGTAGTGAAATTTTTTTTCCCGACAGCTAACCAAAAATAGATGAAATTATACAAAATAAAACCGCAGTCGACCATTCAGTTGGTCGAAACCACCCATAGCAGTGGCGGGCCAAGTGAGTGGTTGGTAATTTGGGTTTTTGAACACCTCTACTGGTAATAGCCCCTACCTTCTCTATTTATTTTTTATTACAAATTTACCATACTATGAAACATCAATTTTATCCTCACCACTATCCTTCAAACCCTAACCCTAACTCTACCCACCCACCACCATCACCAATAGCCACCCCCACTCTCCAGGAACCCTAGCCCCTTCTCGCCAACGACTCCCTTCTCCAGCCCTATCATCTTCCTCAAAAAGTAACTATCATAAAAAACAAGAAAAAGATAACAACAAACAAAAAATAAAAATTCATAGTTTAAACATATATATGGTAATTGTAAATAAATTATATACAAGATTTTGGTGTTTAAGAGATGATTGGGTGTGGTTGGCTTTGAAGTATTTTTTGCAATTTTGAAAAAATGGAGTCGAAGCTCCGTTCGACTCTGGTTTGCCGAACACATTAAGATTGTTCAGCCAATGGTAGCCGAACATTATAAGGTTGTTCAGACTACTAAGGACGAATGTGATCAATTTCACCAATTTTGCCCCATTTAGTAGGCTAGAACTGAACAAACTTGGTTTGTTCCATCGTTTTCAGCCGAACAAACTTTGTTCGGTCGAACATGACCAAACAAATCAAGTTTGTTCGGCCCTAGTTATCCAAACAAAATTCGAACAAAAAAAAAATGATGTTTGAAAAGGTTGCTGGGGTGAAGAAGAGCTGCTGCTAGGCAATGGTGGAGGTGCAAAAAAAGGTTGGGGAAGGTTGGGTAGGGCCGCCAAAGGTGGTGGTGGAGGCAGCCGGAGATGAGGGTGGCAAGAGAGGGGGTTCGTAAGAGGAAAATTGTGAAAGAAGGGAATATTTTGGGGATTATGGTGGGGGTCCAAAGAAAAAGGAGGGAAACAATTTGGGTGATAGGGAGGTCTAAAGAAATGGGGGAACCTAAGAAAATAGGTGGGGACAATAGCAACACTCTTACAAAAGACCAGAGAGATGAATTTTTGTTCATTTCCTTCCCCCAAATAGTCAGCCACTCTTTTCCTCTTTCTCTTGCTTTACTTTCACAAACCCTAACCTTCTTTGGTAGATTCGTGAATTGAAAACCGAGATTCATGCTTGAAGCAAGAATGAAAACTTGTTCTACTCATCTAGGGGAGTTTCCAAATCTAAACAAACCCTTCATTGGAGCATTTGAAGCTTTCAGCCCTCCTCCCCCTCCGAGTCTCTTTCATTGCTTCTAAGGTAGTAGAGAATGATGTTATCGTGCTATTTTCTTGACCTACATGTGATCAATTTGATAAACTCATGCAAACCCTAACTTGATTTTGAAATCCATACGCTAGAAAGAGCAGTTTTACACAAATGTTTGATTCTTCTAAATTGGTGTTGCAATGACACGGATAAATTATGAATATGATAATTTTGTCTTTTTTCATAGAGGTATACCTTGCTTAACTCCATGTCTAGCTTGAACAAACCTTTTCTCTAGTTTAGGTGAATATCATTTCGAACTTACTGGGTGTTTGTAAAAATGCCCCACTTGATGCTTTCACTTTTGTTTAGGAAATTGTGAGGTTAGAGTTTAAGGGTTTTGAATAGTTAGAGTTTTTCAACTATGTATTTTTGAAATGTATTTTTATTTTCAATATAGTTAGAGTTTAAGGGTTTTGAATAGTTAGAGTTTTTCAGTTTGAGGGGGTATGAAATGTATTTTTATTTTCAAAACCCTTAAACTCTAACCTCACAATAGTTAGAGTTTTTCAACTATGTATTTTTGTTAGCTATATATATCAACTAAACTCTCTAAGAATAGTTTTTCAATATTCTGTTTACTTCTTAGAGAAGAAGGAAATAGTAAGATTAAAGTAGTATCCATTTTTTTCAAAATTTATTCAATTGACGTATCCTTAATGTGTCATGTATGCATTCCATACATGTATCCATGCTTCGTAGAAAGTTTGAAAAAATAAGGAAATATAACGGCTCTATTTGGTTTCAATTTTAGAATCAGTTTTTAGAAATTTTTCTTAAAAATAGAAATTAATTTGATAAAAATAAATGTCAAATTTTTTTTTTTGAATTTTTAATAATTCTTTTCACTCTTAAAAAATGTAAAATTACATGTAAATAATAATTTTTTTTTTTTAAATTAATTTTTTTTTTTTTTAATTTTCAGAAAACAGATTCTGACCACCAAACCAAACAGAGCCGACGTTCCTAAAATCATATTTCAACAATCAAACAAACAAGTGAACTTGCATACAACACTTTTACATATAACACTTAAGTTCAAAAGAGAAAAACACAGGAACAAGATAAACAATTTAGACTTGATATTAAAATGAAATTTTTATAAGGCCTATTAAAAATTTAAAATTAACTACCTACTACTCAAACTAATATCCAAAATTTAAGAAAATGCAATAAAAAATTAAAAATATATATATATATAAATCTTTTTTGATAAACGTATCCTAGCCATAGCCCCCAAGTCTTTTTCATATTGCCATATTCATATCATATTGTATTGTATCTATATCCATCATCCTTATTTGTGCTTCATAGTCTTAACATAATAATCAACTTCAATGCATAACAGTGGAAATCAAAAGGTTCTTACTTGTTCAGATGTTGCCATTGAACCATGGCAAGTAAGGAGCAAAACCCTGTTAGGGTCGCCTAAGAGAGGATGAGCTTTAAGTTGATCCCTCATACAGCTAATGTCCTCCCAGCCAGTCATAAATACTAACACAGCACCAGGCCGTTCCTTCCGACATATATGGCATAAAGAAGCCTCAATAAGATTAAAACCAATGCAATCAGGTATCCAACATGACAGTGAATCACGAGCCCTTGCACTATAATTCTCGAAGTTTGATTTACTAAGAGCATCCTGTGAAACAATAAGGTAGAAGCCTAGTTATACATAGTTATTGTACAAATCTTCAAATTTACAATATGTCCGAGTTTATCTACTTCTTCTCACTATTAAAAAAAGGGAAGTGTATGAAGTTTTCGTATTGCTTTTCCTCCAAGCCTTTGTCACAAATATATATATATATAGAATATCATGAACAGGAACCTACAAATAGAAACAATCCAAATAATTAACTTAACAAAGAAGGTTTCCATTAGTAGTATAACAGATGGGGATGTGCCACTCCCTGCCTACAAGGTAGGCATGACATACTTGACAACAGTTAAGTGGAAAATGCAAAATTGCTCCTCCTTTTCGTTTCATTAATTTTGATTGTTTATGGATGTAATATTTATATATATAGCAAATAAAAATACAATTTTTTGTTGAATCCATATCCTTTTTTCTTTTTTTTTTGAAATCACAGTGTCCTGTGTTTGTCCATGTTCGTATCGATAGTCAGTCTCCATGCTTCCTTGGTAAAAAACACGCCAATCCTTGCAAAGCAACTCATTTTTAATTGCTAATGGATGTAAGAAAAAATGCATCCTTGCACAAGAACACAACATATTTTAAGTTTTTTCTACAAATTCCAGGTAGGAACTGAATTTTGAGACTGAATTTGAGCGTAGTGCAATACCTCAACAAGAGCAGTGATCTGATTTTTCCTTTTCCGTGGCACTAGCTGTCTTTGTGTTTTCCACATCTTCTCTTGACCATAATCATCAATTTGGTTGAAAGAAGTCAACTTATATCCAGTCATTTCCAATACATCTTCCAGAAAGTGTGCTTTCACTGGGTATGTAAAACCCTAAATTTAGACAAGATACAATTCACATCAACTGCAAAAAGATCAAATGAACAAATTCTTCCCCACTTGCAAAGTGCATAATTTTCAGATCTTATCTCAACTAAATGCAGCAATATCAGAGAAAAGTGGGAAATTAAATTGACATGTTATTAGCAACTTAAACCAAATCGGATGCCCAACCTCACTCAAGTTGTAAATAAGCTAATATTACATGATTTTATCATTATAAAAATAAAAAATAACTAAAAACAAAAAAATATATATATGGTTCCAGAAAGCAATAAACCATGCAACTCATATGTTTAAGAAACCGTACAGTGGTATCCAAAAAAATAAAGTTTTATAAAACTTGTTTGCATTAACAGTCTTTAATCTTTATATAAAGTTTCCCATGCGATTTTCAATTTCAGTTGAAGGTCAAATTGGAAAAGAGGGTACACCATGCCCCAACACCAACAACATAATAAGTTCAAGAAACAGCACTGACCAAGAAAGAAAACATAATACACTACAACAAACTCAAGTTTCAGCTTACCGGAATATGGATTGTTGGTGCTCCTCCAAAATAATTGGAAAATAACTCAGCATTTAAAGTAGCACTCATTAAAATCAATCTCAAATCTCGACGTCGTGGAAGAAGATCCTTCAACACAATCAATAGGAAGTCTGGTGAGGAAAAAAAAACGTGTTAATAATTGATATTGAATGCTTTTGTAGAAAACCCAGATGAAAAGCAAATAGGAACTGACCTTCATTCATGCCTCGCTCATGAATTTCATCAACAAACACATGGGTTATACCATTCAAGTTGCGGTCACTCAACAAACGTCGAAGCAAAATGCCACTGGTACAAAAAAGCAGATGGGTATTTCTTCCTTTCATTCCCTCTAATCGAACTTTATAGCCAACCTATCAAAAAATCTGAATTGTCGAATAGCAAGTAGAATAAAGAAGTTTTCGCAAAGGAAGCTACTGACTCAGCAAGCAAAAGGTCCATAAAGCCAATTTAAAACAAACATGGAATCCAAGACGGAGAGGATGGGCTGAAGAAAGAGAAAAAGGGCTCACTGATTCACCAAGAGGCTCTCCTCTCTCGTAGACACTCATTCTTGGCAACGCCATAGCTGATATTCGTCGAGGTTGTGTACAAATTATGTTACAGAATGATCCACGACCAGATTCTATTTCTGACTCCAATATATACTGAGGAAGTTGGGTAGTTTTACCACATCCAGTCTCCCCAGAAATTACAACAACCTGTTAGTATTAAAACTAGTCAGGATCCTCTTACTAGTAAACATCTGTATATGGATTCAAAAAATCAATTATCAGAACCATTTCTGTGTCCATAAGAAACAGAAAAAAAAAATCATTTGCACAATTTATGAGGTTCACAAAGATAAGTAGGAATTATATAACAGTTCACATTTTGGAGATGACACAAGAAGAGGAAATTTACCTTCCATATAAAACACAACTCAATTCCACAAAGCATTGTTTCCCCACTACTTTAGGTTGTTCATGTCTTGCATATTGTGCCACATGCAAAAGCATTACACTAAATGGCAACAAATGAGCAACAGTAACCAAGCAAGAAGGTTGCAGGCATTCAGACATTAATACTAGGACACCAGGTCTAAAAATGTTTTTTTTTTTTTTTTTTTGGTTTTTTTGATAAGTCAGGTATAAAGATGATACAACTTTTACATTCAATGGATTAGAGTCATATATGTTCATTCTCCTCCTGTGAATGCTACAAATGAAATATTAAGTAAACTGGCTTGCAGAAGAATTCTTTTCAGTTTAGTCTTGAGTTAAGAATGCTTCAAAAGCTTCTAACCCTATGTTGCGGGAAAACAGCAAGTGTACAGGGAGGGGATGTTGCCACTGAGAGACGAAGCTAGTGGTGAGGGGTGTGGATGAAAGTTGCCAGGTCTGACATGGAAAATCCCTAGAAGTACTTTCGGTCAATTGGAAATTGTTCTCTACGAAAAAGAAAAGAAAATTGTTCTAATAAATTTCAAAAAACACAAGTTGAACAAGAGTTCATGACTAGTTTACCAATTTTTAACCAGGACCATTTGTAATGGAACAAATCAGGACATGCCTTTCTTAACATCTGAATTTTAGAATCCTTGAGATGTCTGCCCCTAATAAGTTTAGTACCCATGGCTGAACATTAATTTCCCCAGGTTTCACATACTCAAAACCTGATCAAACTAGAGGGTTCATCAGGTGCTGATTTTGGACCTAAAAACTATAAGTGGGGCCTATGTCACATTTTCTTTTTTTATCAGCAACAACAAGAATTTTATTAGTAAAAGGAAAAGAGATACAAATAACAAGGGGGGACAAGCTGTCCACCAAAACCAAAAAACACAACTAACTACATACGTCTCTCCAATCTCTAGTAATTGAAAATAAAGGAATCACCTAAAAATAAGGGGCTGTCACGGCCCAAAAAGGAGCCAAATAACAAAATTTATTCCATATTCCCCTAAATCTTCACATTTATCCTCAAAATCTCAGGCATTCCTCTCTAACCAAAGAACCGCACATACAACACAATCCCAAAGAGCCTTCGCTTTGTCATTCGATCCAAAACCTCCAAAATCATTGCAAAACATATGAACACAAGGAGGTACCACACAATCCATCTCCGCTAACCAAAACACCCTCCGCCACTATAATCATCAAAGGCGACATTGCCCATGTAAAAAAAGGCTAAACCATGATAGCTTGTACCACTCACAACAAAAGAGACATATGCGCTCAGATAAAAAGGCCTACACATATTTACAAATTAAGAGATTCAACAAAATCTACAATGTCCCATGCCACCCATGACCTTCCCTAAAATTCAACTATACAAAGTGGCCAAAAAGTTACTTTTCAGCCTATACAAAGACTCCTCTACAACTTGAAAATCACCATATTCCACTCCTACGTCAAGCACAACAAAGCTAGCAACCAAAAGTCTTTGTTTCCCCACCATGCAAACATAACCCCCACCACATCCCCATTGAAAAACCAATCCATCCCAAATAGAGCCAAAACCAAACTCCACAAATGCCTAGCCATCTGACAATGAATAAGCATGTTACAACTAACCCCATCACACTAACGAAGGCATTACCAATCAACAATGATCTTTTTCTCCTAATTAAGTAATCAACCATAAGAATAAATTTGATCCTTCTCCAACACCCCTACACCAGTATACCCCACACAGAAAATTGAAAAAGTTAATCAATTGATATGACTCCCAATCTTGCAAATTCCTTCTCAGCCCAACATCCCGAAAAAACATAAATTCGCACACCCCGGACACAATCCACCACCGAAGCTTCCATCAACAACAAAGAGAAAATAGAAGGCCAATCAAAATACAAAGAAGAATATAAGGAAAAATCTTCTCCAACACCTCATCTCTACTCTAGTTATGATGCCAAAACTTCACCCTATCTCCCTTCCCCAAGTTAAAGAAACCACATTTCAAAAAGTCCTCCTAAACTAGACGAATGACCTTCTAAAGCCCTCTTCCATGGGACATTCATCTCCAACGAAGGCCACTCATCCCAAGTGCTGCTATATTTTGCCATAAACACTTGCCCAAAAGAATTTTGTTAAAGATTCCCAACATTCTAATATGCAAACCCCCTTCCCTCACCGGAGTACAAACAGTGTCCCAATCAATAAGATGACATTTAAACTCTTCAACTACAAAAACCCACAAAATTTCTCTGTGCAACTTTTCAAGCCTCCTAACCACCAAAACTGGAATAGTGTGCAAGGACATGACATAGATTGGAAGGATTGATAAAGTGCTCTTAGTAACAGTAAGCCAACCTCACCTACACAGGTGTTGCCTTTTCCAACCTAGCAATTCCTTTGGAACTGCTCAATGACTGCAACTTGTACAACCTTAGATTTAAAAGAAAACCCCCGAGGTAATCTAAGGTATGTAACTGGAAGTACACCAATCTTACAAGCAAGAATAGAGGCCAACTCCCCGACATGAGAAACTTCTCATACCGGAATCAACTCTTATTTTTTCAAATTTACCATCAAACCTATAAAACAACCTCAAAGCACAAAAGAACACACTGAAGTTAGTCCAATTGGACCATATCTGCCCCACAATATCGCAGTGCCATCTAAATACAAAATATGAGCGCACCATCAAGTACTACTAGTACTAACATAAAACACTGCAAGAATCTCCCTGAACCACCATGGTAATCATCCAACTTAATGCCTACATAGGAAGAATTAAAAACAAAGGTAACAAAGAGACACTTCACCACAAATCCCTCAATAGCTGGAAAAACCAGCAGGCGATCCATTCAGCAACACCAAGAGTCAAGTTGTATTGCCTCCATTTATTTCCAAAACCCATCCTACCCAACAAGTAAAATAACAAATATCAAATCACATGATCATAAGCCTTTGCAATTTGCAAATAACCCCCCGCCTCAGCACTTCTCAATCTAGAATCAACACATTCGTTAGCCACAAAAATTTGCCTCCCTCAACAAACACATTTTGAGAATACTAGTGCAACTAGTGGTTTCAACTTTGATGGCTTACTTCAACTAGTATACTAAATCGGTGCATGTTGTGTATCTTCTTGTTTTAACAAGTAATTATATTTGCTTCCACCAACAAAAACGCATTTACTTGCATCCTACATTTAACTTAGCAACAAATTTGCAAACAAATGTCAAGTTCTTCAATTATCTACCATTCCCCAAGCTCCATGGTAAAGCCTAAAGGATGATGTAAGCAGATAAAAAGGGGGGACAAGAAAAAAAAGGAATTATAGAACACCAAAACCACAATGTAAAAAAGATACCACACAAAATCCTTGACCATCTAATTAACTCTAAATCCAAGGCTCGAGGGACTTTTCAAAGAATAAACAACCTCAATAAAAAAAGGTTTTCTTAATTAATTCCATGTTATTTTTTAGGACCAAAAACTTCATAAACTGAAATCAATTGAGAACCAATTAAGAACATTATTCTTTTTTTCTTTTCCCTTTTTGTTGAAAAATTAAGAGTTCTATTCAACAATTGCAAGAGGACTTTAATAGCCTCATTATGACAACCCAAAAACTCCACATGAGACTTCTAACATAAGAAAAGGCAAACGAAGATCAAAGAAAATAAGAAGAACCTCAAAAAAATCTCTCCAAGCCAAAAGGCATGAAGCTCAAACATGAAAACTTCTTCAAATATCCTATTTTCACACACACCACATCATTCGTGTTACAGCAATTTTACAATACCATTTGCCTCTTTCTCACCTCACCTCAACCGAACACCCTAAAAGCAAGCTGAAAGCAGGCAGGAACACAAGCAAATAGAGCAAGGAAAATAAAAGCTTACAATAACCCACACTTTATGGAGGACCAGGACCAAACCAAAACAACAATCAGAAAAGGGCTCAACCAAAGAGCGCATAGATATACAGCATTAAAAATAAGTTCATTCCCTACAAAAATTTCATTTTTTTTATAGATACTAGATTGAAAATTGAGAAAGAAAGGGTATGAATTCCCAAGTCAAACCTGATTTTGTGCAATTGCTTGGAGCAGCCTTTCCTTCTCCTTGAATGCAGGCAGAGATCTCCGAAAGTCTAGCATCGTCCTGCCTTCTGGTGATTCCTATAGATGAAAGGGTGTATTCATTTCAAAATGCAACTACAATTCCACGTGGATAAAAGTTCCAAAATGACACGTTTAAATAATGGCTTAAAATTTAAACAGAGCCCTAACAAGAAAAGGAATGGATACAGTTCCCATAGCAAAATATAGGTCCACCATGCCTATTCATAAAATAATAGACTGCTGTTGAAACATATCAAATTCAGAACAAATACACTTCAGGAAGATAAGTACAATCCCTAGTACCTACCTTAATAGACTTTTCAGGCTTTCAGCCAACAAACTAGCCCAGGTCTCCAGCTCTGTTAAATGAACTCAAATTTCTTTACACAGGAACGAGTTATCAAAAACATAATTATATAGAAGCGAATCTTCATTGTTCCAAACATTGATCTCTATTACTTTGTAATTTCCAAATTTATTTGGGTTAAATTATTGTACAAGAAATAATGTGAGCAAACCAAAACAAAACAGAAAAAGTAAATTAAAATCTGCAACAAAAGAATGAGAAACGGAATGTTCAAAGGTTTGTTATAGACAGAATTTTGTCATTATGCCAGCACCTATGTTACACGGACTCTTCTAAATTTATTAAATGTTGTGTACGACACTCAGACATCTGCGTAAGGGTATGGAATATATGTTTGATATGTCTAATTGGTCATGCACCTAATGAGTATGTATAAATAGTTGATTTTACTAAATAGCTATGAATAAGACTACCATTTAATGCATAACATGCTCTGTGCTAATTTGTAAATAGCATTTTACCCTAATAAAATAAAATTTAATATTTAAAAATCATGAATCTAGCCATGTCCTGTTGTCCAAAATTTAGCCCTATCAATCACTCTAGCTAGAACATCCACCAGCAAAGTAAATAAGAAAAGGGATAAAGGATCCCCCAGTCTAAGGCCTCTAAAAGCCTTGAATGTAGCACCTGCCTTTCCATAACAATAACAAATAAAATTACACAAGGAAGCAACCATGAATCTACTTTCTCCACCCATCCATGATCATATACTTTTTTTCCAAATCAGACTTACAAATGACACATTCCTCACTATATCCTAAGCATTCCTCTAATTTGCAATCAAAACCACATCCAAAATCTAATGTCCTTCAATAAAGGCCCATTAAGAGAAAGAAATGGTATCCCCAAAACTGTTCTCAACCTCCTAAACACTTTTGTCAATTTTTGAAAAGAGCTGTGACAAAACCTAATTGGTTTGAAATCCCCAATACTTAATCCCAAGGGGTTAACCTGGTGGCAAGGCCTTGGGTCTTGGGGGTGTGCTCCCTCCAAAATTCATGGATCAAAACCTCTTAGGTGCTAACAATTCCTTGGGGCCATCGGACTAGCGGAAAACCCTTGAATTAATCATGGAGCACTTGCAGAAAACTCCTTGCTAAGAGCTTGTGCACCCTAGAGATTAGTTAGGCTTTGATCCGAATAACCCGGTGCCAATCAAAATAAATAAATAAATCTCCATTACTTAAAAAAATTATCCTTGCTTTGGAATCAAACAAATAAAAGCATTTTGCAAGTATTTACTATGACATTCTCAAAAACTCAACAAAAAATTTCACCAAATCCCCATAACCAAATCCCAACAATCTTGAAAGACAACCATAGTGAAGCCATCGGGTGCCAGAGCCTTATCCCCAACACACTAAAACACTACCACCCTAATCTCCTCATTAAAATGTCTTTCTAACCAACTAGATTTATAAGCCTCAATTGGAAACAACTCCAAACCCTCAATGCACAACCACACCACTCGATGACATTTGACAACCACTCAAAATGAAAACAGAAACAAACAGGCCTGCACTGATATGTTCTTGTATCTAATGTCTAAGAGATGTCCCCATTTATAACATATATAACATTTTAATTACCTTCAAAAAAAGGAAATGAAATATACCTGCCACGTTCTCTGCATATTACGCATTCGCAAACTCTGCCTCTGAAGAACCTTTTCCATAACAGAGCCATCTAAGAAAGAATCGGGATCATCATCTGGATTTACATCTTCAACCTGATCAGTGGCCTTAGTGTCAACTGAAGTGCCACTGACCCTTTCAGAACTCAACTGCATTCTATCAAGGTGTTCCTGCAGCAGACCCTCTACTCTCCTTTGCAAGCTTAGTGGGATAACCACCTGCAAAAACAGGGCACAAAAATTCAAATTATCCCATAAAGTGATGAAAGTCCATACAAATAAAGAATAAAACCCTTCTACAAACAACCAGTAGTTATTACCTCCCTTTGAGGCCGCTTGTCATCGAGATCTGGCCTATAATTGGGAAGAGGAACCTTGCTCGCAACCACCACTTTTCCATACAATTCACTGAACATGCAAATTGGACATCCAAGGAAAATTTTAGTGAATGCTAAGACATTATAAAACTACAAAGGAATATTAAATAATGGTTTCCCTACCAGTAAAGCCCCATCCTTTTGGCAAGGTTAGATATTTGCTCATAGTCTCTCCTGTCTCTTTTATCTCTGGACACAATCTCCTGGTCCTTTTCATTGTGTAATAGCAAGTTAAGTTTCCATTTCCACTCATCAATGTTGGCCACAGAAGAAGATGCCTGCCATCAACACAATGTTTAAGAACATAAGTTTCACAATTTTTACCTTCACATCCAAATTATATACTAATAAATGCAAATTTATGATCAAATATTAATAAATACATAAACACATCAATAATAGGTTTATAAGAACCAGCACTTGTTTTAAAATCTTATCTTTTTGCTAGCTATGACCCGTGTTTAAAGACAGCGCACCAAGAATCTTCCATAAAGTTCTTAGTTTCAAAAGACTTACACTATCTTTAGCGGCTATTGTATGCCTTCATCTCAGTCTCTGCAGAGGAGAACGCACATAACTGAGAACAAGACAAGTATAAAAATATGCATGACCAACAGTGGCTAAAAAAACTTGGGAAAAGAAAACAACCTAAAATCTTAAAATTTCTCTTATCTGAGACCCTGATATCTGTCTTTAGGAGGAGCCAAAAACACATTCTATCTTATCTGTTTAACACTTACAGACACAAGAATGATAAAACACATTCTTTTATCTGGATTCCTAAAAAGCACGGACACTTCTAAGAAGGTAACATGTCGTGTCCAACACCGACACGACACAACACTCGTTGGACACTTTCTAACACTTAGACACACATAAAACACATTATAAGTTTGAAAAAAAATAACTTGGTAACCAAAGATAAAACAAAAACAATGTAAATTTAAACCTATTCTCCTCCTTTTGACTTCAAAAATTATTGTCTCTAACTTAAATATTCATATAAATGACATATTAATTATTTACCCTTATATATCACGCATAATAAATATATAGAATATATATTTTGCACATGTCACCCAAATGTCATGTCCTACATATTTTGAAAATTTACATGTCAACATGTCTATGTCTTATCCAAGTGTTAGTGTCCATGCATCTTAGTTGGATTCTCTTTTCTATTATCAGCACCGTTCATTACACAACAAATCAATCGATCAAGATTCAAGGCATCCCATATTAAAATGAACTTCTGAATTCAGAAAAGAACTTTTGATTTCAAAGAAAACTTGAAAAAACATAAGATTCATTTTATTCCATCATCATGTCATCATAAAATATTAATGTGTACTAATTGGACGTTTTTTATCATGTCATCATAAAATTCAAAATTGCAAAAAGCTTTTGATTCTGAATGTTGCATTTGATTTTTATAAGGATCGCATTAACAATAGTGTGCAATTAAAGTCCGGCTGCATCAGCAAAACACACTCTTTGTGGATCATCCTTATTAAACATCCATATGCCATAGAAACTTTTTTTCTCACCGAAGCTAAGACAATTACTTGACTCAGTTGAGGTGAGCTCCCCATATCCCTAAATCCAAAAATATCTCCGCATTTGATGTATCTTTCTTCTTTTTTTTTCTTTTTTTTTTTTCCTAATTGAGAAAACCCATCCTAGGCAAGAGGGCCCTTTGAACCCACCCCAGGAAGGTAAACTCAAGGTTCAAACCCACTCCCTAAGCCATTGAATTGGGCAACGGGAGGGGATTCGAACTCTCATTAGTAACAAGAGCGGATTCCAAAGTTGAGCTGAATTTTCCAAAATAGAAAAAACCACAAAAATCATAATCCTAGTTTTCTTCTGTTCTCCTCCATTTATCCAACACAAGTTCACAACTGAACAACAAGTAAAGAATTTCAGACCCTACATTACATATATGGGAGGTGCTACTATATACACCTTGTAAAAAATGCATATGGTATGGACCCAAAAAACTAAGCACGATAATTCATAACTTCCACCAAATTGAGTCATAACCAAAACAAAATTGGTTCATAACCAAAACACCACAAAAACCAAGACGACTTGAGTTCAAAACAAAGCATCACAAAATCTCATAACCAGACAACTTCTGTTCATAAATTGGTTCATAACCAAAACACCATAAAACCTAACAACCAAAGGCACAAGACAACTTCTGTTCATAAATTTGTTAATAACCATAGAACCTGATAACCAAGCCCACTTGCGCCCAAAACTAGATACGACAAAGCACAGGCGAAACCAAGTTCACCCAAAATTTGACCACCACAAGGTCTCATAACTACATACATACCATAAAATTTTCATTTTCATACTATACATATATATGCATACACAAACAGCACATTGGACAAAAATATATAATTAAAAAAAAAAGGTATATTCTAATATACAACCCTATAAAAAGAAGAGTGGATCATAATTATACCATTTTTTTCCTTAGTTATATGATTCATCAGTGCTTTAGTTATGCATTATGACATTTTTTTAGTTATTACTCGGAAAAGAATAATGCTAAGACGAGATGTAATACAATTTTATAAATTTTGGATATTTATAGTTTGTATAAGAATAATACTATATGCATCAATTAGTATACTAACAGATGATATGACATAATTTTAGAGATTTTGAATATTTATAATTTGTATAATGAGCGGAGTACATAAGTTATGTTGGTACATTAGTTGTAGTTGGTATACCAATTAGTATATGTAGTACCACGGTCTGTATAATAGTTGAGATCAACAATTTTAAAATAACAATGTCATTCGGTAATTAATATACTAAGGCCAAGTTTGGCATCCTCCAAAAAATTCAAAAAGTCAAAAAGTCACTATCCTATTTAACTCACATCATCTTATTTAAGTCACATCATCTTATTTAAGTCACATCACCTCTCTAACACATCACTTCAAACCCAACCCAAATCCAACCCATATTTCATAAAAAGTCAAAAAATGCACTTATTTAGTCTTCCCAAACTTGACCTAATTGGTACGGGTAATACCACTGCTCAGAAAATTGAAATTATGTCATGCACCATAGTGTTTCCCAAGAAAATAATATGTAAAAAAAATAGTAGGAAGTTGTTAGGAGATGGAAAAACCTTATGATTGTCGTAGTCGCATTCATACTCGTCGTCTGAGAACTGCTCAGCGGCGTAGCCGCAAAAAGCTCGGCGACCCGAGAATAAAAAGGTAGAGAAAATTCTGGAGAGAGAGGGAAAGGCGTTATTGGAGGTGGGAAGAGCAGGAAACGAGAACAAGTCCTGATCTGGCCTAGCAGTTGCAAACCTCCTCCTTTGATTGGACAAGAAGAGAGCATGAAGAAGCGAGGATTGTTTGCCACATGCTGCTGCTAAGAGAAACCCTAGCCTCGAATTGGATTTGGAGTTCATTTTGGGGGCATGGCATTGGCTTATTCCACAGTGAAGATGAGCAGTCTGTTTACAGTTTATACCTGTTAAATGCAGAACAGGTTGTTCAAAGTACAAGACTCGATCGCCACTTTACTTAGGTGCTACTAATCGTGTGCTTGAAGGGCTAATTTCCCTATTCCCACTCGTGTTTCCTTATTTTCATTACAGGGTAAATTTTCATTACAGGGTAAATAGTTTTATCTATGAATCGAAAAAAAAAAATAGTTTTATCAAAGCCGTTTTCTTAAAAATGACTTTACCAATGTCGTTTTTTTTTTTTTTTTGAATAAAAAATAACTCTACAAAATTAGCTTTTCAAAAGTCATTTTTATTTAATGTGTAATTAATTTTAAGTTAATAAAAAATAGTTTTTATAAAATCATTTTTTAGTAATATTTTTTTCTAATTTATATTTTCTACATAAATATTATCTGCCAAAAATATCTTAATTCATGAAACGGTTTTACCAAAACTGGTTTATAATACGGCTTTATGAATGCCGTTTTTTAATACGGCTTTACGAACACCATTTTCATAAAAAATACAATAAAATAAATAAATAATGTGTTTTGTTTTGGGTTAAAAGTGATATACTCCAACAGTCCGAAACACACCCACACACTCTGCAGTTCAACAAAGAACGACGAAGAGAAATACGCGAAGAGTATCGCGGATAAGGCCAAAAAGATGAAGGGCACCGCGAGTGCTGTAGGAAGAACGAAGAAAACAAAGACCTCAAAATATCCTCGCACCTCTCTCTTCCATCATCAACATTGAGGTTTGTTTTGGATAAATTAGGGTTTTCATATTTGATTGGGAAATTTCAAGTTCAAAATTAGGTTTGTTTGGGACTCTAGACATTGATAGTAGATTGTTTATGTTGTCATGTCTGAGATTGTAGTTGTACTGTACCCTGACCCTCATCCTTTGAACCCCAAGCAACAGCGGTTTTGGACTGAGATAGGTGTTATGCTTCTTGTGGTCTAGTAGAGAATTTATCCTGTGTCTGTACTGTATTGGCCCCCTTACCAAACGACCGACTTTGCCTTTCTTTTCAACCCCTAATTTTTGCTTTCTGTGAAGCACCCATTCCTTCCCAGAACCGCAGTGTCAACGAACCATTCACTTGCCTTTGAGATTGTTTTTTCAGCTCCAAATTTGTTTTTTGTGAACCCCCCATTGCTTGACTTCCCATCATTGTGGTCCTCATTCTGACTGGACTTCTAGGAATTGAATGGTAACTCTTATTATTGTCCCGATGGAGAGGCACAGTGAAGGGAAGTTTTTTATTCAACTGCCCATTCACATTTGTTGTGTCTTTATTGTGGGCACTTCGTCTGTCTGAACTTTATTAGTCCCCCAACTGGACCAACCACTTGGCTTTGAGCTTGTTTCTCCAGCCCCCAAGTTTAGTTTTCTGTCAACCCCCCATTTCTTACCAGAGTCATCATCCTTATTGGACTTCCTAGAATTGAATGGTGACTCTATCTTCTTGAGTTTCAAAGATTGAAATTCTATACCTAGACCATCACTATTTGAAGAATCCTAGTTAAGGGAAGCTTTTGACTAAGATTGACTAAGCTACATGTTCCGTTTTCTGTGTTGTTGTCTTTAGCATCTTGTCCCAATTGAACATTCCCAATTAATTTTATACCCTTAACCACGATCTTGTCTGATTGACGGTCACATTTCTTATAACCCAACTCAATACCATTAAGCAATCTCGCCACACCTTTATGATCAAATTTAATGTCCCTTAATTGTTCATCGTACAGCTGCAACTTTCTTACTCCCCTCTTAGTCTTCTTAATATAATGGGGAATATTGTGCATGACCACAGTAACTCCACTTATATCCGCTGACCACCGTTTTTCTTGACCTCTAGTACGCAAGGGGAGTCCGATACTGGCTGCCCATACCTCATTCCATTTTTTATAAAACACTCCAAATCTTTTATCCTAGAAATTCTACAGATTCTTTTACCTCTACTAACCCTTCTGTTCAGACACCTTAGCTTTGATATTTTTTCCCTCTGCTTCTCGTACCCACGAACAAACTTTGCTGGAGCTAATCGCCGCCTCTCTTCCCACAATCTTATTTGCCACGTCAAAAAACGATCTACACACATTTGAGTGAACTGCCCGTAATTATTGGGATACTCTTCTAAGGAGTACAACATTGTATACCAAAACAATCAACAACAAAAAAAGACTAAAAATGAGAGAGAAAACAAGGTACCAGAAAACAACTTCACTACAATAGCTATCCCACTACAAAAGCATATTCCTCTCTGCTATAAAATGTTTTCTGGTACCAAATATATAGCAAAACTAGCCCGCATGTAAGGACGAAGATTCCCCATTCAAAATAATTCATACACATTTATTTTTCAGCCTTTGCTTTATGTCTATCATTCTGCAATAATATTTACTTTACAACCATGCAAACCACCAGAAAAGCGACATGCGTATAGCACTATCTAGCAAAGGAATCAAAAGTACTCACACCACTCACACCTGGGCTCGGGTGTGACTTCCTTTTAACCACATCCATACACGTATCCATAAGTACAGCAACAGAAGGCCCAAATCAGCGGAAGGGGGGGCGCTGGTAATATTAATACGGCACCCCCCAGTTACACCACTCACACCATTTACACCAGGTTTTTTAACTAATAGAGAGGCCTTGTACGGCTGGTGTGAGTTCACTGTTTACCACTACAAAATGCATCTCCAAGCCTCTTTCCGTTTTTATGCCAAGAATGTTTTCCTCACCTACCCACAATGCCCATGCCCATGCCCAAAAGAACAACTCTTAGAACACCTCCAATCCCTTCTTCAACTAGCATGTCAGACATACTACATACTTGTCGCAAAAGAGATCCACGAATATGGAAACCCTCACCTCCATGCCATGGTTCAATGCACGAAGAAGATCCAAACCTCCAACCCGAGATTTTTTTATCTCACTGGAACCAACGGCAGAATCTATCATCCAAATATAAAAAAACTCCACTCGTCAACAGCAAGTCGACAGTATATATAGAAAGGGGGCAAGTTCGTCGAATGGGGAGAATTTTCATCTAAGGGGGAAAGTCCTTCGAAAAACAGAGACGAACTATGGACGGGATATAGCTCCTTTGTATTTGGGCTTGTTGGCCTTGAGCATGTGCATGTATAGCACGACACCTTTGCATCGATTTGGTGATTTGGGGCCACCCTACATGTTATTTCAGTCCCATTTCCATGCTTGTTTGATCACCTTGCATGCCTCTTTAATGCTTTGGAAGCATGTGTTGCATGCTCCATGTTTTGGACACTTGTGCATGCTTTTGTTTTGAGTCATTTGGATGCCATCTAAGTGATTCTTAGGCCTTGTATTAATGCCCCAAAACTCTGTTTTTGGTCAATAAGTTCGTGCCATGTTTGGTCTTGCTAAGTGTAGTTCAATACTCCATTGGTTTGCTTTGAGCACTTAGGCCACTTGTTGCATGTCTGGCTTGATTTAATGCTTGGTTGGGCATCATTTTATAGCATGATTTTAGAGCTCATGTTGCATGCTAATAGTCCATGAAATCTCTTCTCAAGTGTGCTTGAATGTTGCTTGCCTAATGCTTAAGGTTTGGACCATAACATGTGTATGTGTGCATGTGTGTTTAGCCTCCATTTTTGGGCATTTTGGCCACTGTTTTAGGCCTATTTAGAGTTGCCTAATTCATGTTTAAGTCCATCTTTCCATCTATTTGCATTGCCATATGTATGCTTGTATGCTTGCATAAGTTGGTTGCCATGTCATGTCACACCCTTAGCTTGTATGCCTAGGTCGCATTGCATCTCGCATGCATGCCTTATTCCTTGACTCGGTGATAGGAATTGGGCCTTAATTTGTTTGATTGGTGTAGACGCGCCCGCGTGGGCCTCATGCTACAGTTCGGACTCGATTTGTGTCACGGTTCTTAATCTGATTGGTGGTCCGAGAATCGAGGCACATGCCCCTTTGAGTCATTACCATGATAAGGGACATGATTGTTGCATACATGCCATGAATTGTACTGCCATGCTTTGCCTTGCCCTCTGTTGCTATCATTTGCAGATTCTGCAGGAACACTCTGCCGACCGGCAGTGTAAAGTGCCGGCCGGCAATCATTTATCTGCCGATGGCTTCATTTTGTGCCGATGGCCACATATCACTGCCGGTGGTAATTCCATTCAGCCGGTGGCACTCCCCAATGTCCAGGGATGCAGTCCTGAGGTTTTGGCAACCTCCAGAGGAGTGAAGGAAGGAAAACAGAGGCAGCTCATGCATGGCGGCACGTTTCTTGAGGCAATTTTCCTGTTTTCTTAGATTAGCTATTTTGCTTAGTTAATTAATTAATTTGTAATATCTAATTAGCTCGCGTAGATAATTAATTTGTAATATTTATTTGGTCCCTCCGAGCGAGGGCAAATCTGTAATAAGCGTGTGTGAGTGGTGTGTATGTCTTCCAACCTCACGTCTTTCTTCCCTTTTATTTACCTGCTTATGATGGTAGATTAGGGCACGTTTAATTTAGCATACCTTATGCTATGCATGCTTGCATCCATGCATTTGTATTGCATGCATTAGGCTCGATACATCACGCTAACTGCATTTGTATTTCAATTCAAAAAGTGAATATGTGATAGTTGATCGCATTTCATATGCCATGCTTAGGTTAGCCGAGCCTACTTTGATTGCATCCTGTATGTATTGCATTATGCAATTTAACATGAACTAGGGCACGCATGTTTGCTAACTAGTTTACTGTTTTGGCAGGGAGTACTATGTAAGTATTTGTGCTTTAGCATCTCGCATGCGTGTGAATGTTAACATGACAGTATGCTTGCCATGCGGCTAAATGCTTATATGATAAACTGCCTGAATGCCTGTGGGTGGAGGTTGGGTTGTTTGAGTTGGAAAAACTCATTGAAATCCGTGTTTTAAGCCTACTTGCGAGTAGCAAATTACAAAGTGTTTTCGAAACAAACGGATATGCAATGCTTATTTCCAAATTAGGCGATCTAGTCTATACTTGTTTGCTGTGCGCATAACATAGTAATTCTAGGCTAATAATCGGAATAAGAACACATAAGGTTTTCAAAATTGGATA